TTTTAACGGAAGCCCCGGTGTTGGTACAACCGGAATCGAACAAGGATTTTATGATTTTTAGTGACGCTTCTCATAATAGTTTGGGATGCGTCTTAATGTAGGATGGAAAAGTAGTTGCTTATACTTCTAGACAACTTAAGCCTCATGAAAAAATTATCCGACGCATGACCTTGAATTAGCAGTTGTGGTCTTTGTATTGAAAATTTGGCGGTACTATTTGTATGGTGAGCGTTGCTACATCTTCACCGATCATAAAAGTTTGAAGTATTTACTAACGTAAAAGCAGTTAAATTTGAGGCAAAGAAGATGGATGGAGTTACTTAAGAACTATGATACAATTATTGATTATTATACCGGGAAAACCAATGTCGTAGATGACACTCTTAGCCGGAAGACTTTTTCCGCTTTGCGCAGTTTGGATGCTCGAATTGTGTTAATGTAAAATTGTGCATTGATGGCTGAGTTAATTTGAAACCATTATTGTTAGAGCATATTAAGGAATTACAAAGAAATAATGATAAATGTTTAGCTTGGTTCGAACAAGTAGAGAATGTTGAACTCAAGGATTATGAAGTAAAGTAGGATGGGTGTTTATATTTCAAAAATTGAGTCTGTGTTCCTAATGATGACGACTTGAAAAAAGATATATTGAATGAAGCACATTGTAGTCATTTAACGATGCACCCAGGAGGAAACAAGATGTATCAAGATTTGAAAGAGCGTTTTTTATGGTCAGGAATGAAAAGAGACATTACGGAATTTGTATCAAAGTTCTTAGATTGTAAACAAGTAAAGGCTGAACATCAAGTACCCTCGGGATTGTTGCAACCGATCTCAATTCCTCAGTGGAAATGGGAAAAATTACGATGGATTTCATAACATTACGATGGATTTCGTAATAGGTTTACCTTTATCGCCGAGAAAAAAGTATTTGATTTGGGTAATTATGGATCGTCTTACGAAGATTGCGCATTTCATTCCTGTGCAAACGTATTTCTCTATAGAAAAACATGTTGAATTTTATATCAAGGAGATAGTGCGACTTCATGGTGTTCCAATTTCAATAGTTTCTGATAGAGATCCTAGATTCACTTCGAGATTTTGGAAGTCTTTGCAAGGAGCTTTGGGTACCCGATTGAATTTTAGCACTGTTTTTCATCCTCAAACCGATAGTCAATCTGAGTGAACAATTCAGGTTCTGGAAGATATGTTGACAACGTGTGTGATTGATTTTGCTGGATCGTGGGAAAAGTATTTGTCGCTTGTGGAATTTGCCTATAATAACAGCTATCAATCCAACATCAAGATGGCACCGTATGAAGCATTATATGGAAGGAAGTGCAGAACACCAATAAATTGGTATGAATTAAGGGATCGGGAAGTTCATGGTCCAGACTTGATTAAAGAAGTGGGGGAAAAGGTTCAAGTTATTCAGCACAATTTGAAAGTGGCATCTGACAGAAAAAAGTCATACGCCGATTTAAAAAGAAAAGAAATTGAATTTCAAGTAAGTGATAAGGTATTCTTAAAAGTATCACCTTGAAAGAAAGTACTTCTCTTTGGGAGTAAAGGAAAATTGAGTCCTAGGTTTATTGGACCTTATGAAGTTCTAAAAAGGGTTGGACTAGTGGCATATCAGTTAGTGTTGCCGCCAGAGATGGAAAAGATCCACAATGTATTCCATGTGTCTATGCTTAGAAGATATCGATCAGATACTGCACACATTATAACTTCGGATATGATAGAAGTTCAATCTGGCTTGACATATGAGGAAGAACCGGTACAGATTATAGCTTTTGAGAACATGCAGTTGTGGAATAAGATGATTCCACTAGTTAAGGTTCTTTGGAGAAACCATAAAGTAGAAGAAGCTGTGTGGGAGCGTGAAGAAGATATGAAGAAGAAATATCACCACCTCTTTGTGCAATGAAAATTCGAGGACGAATTTTCTTAAGGGGGGGATTTGTAACATCCCAACCATCGGGTCAGTGTCCAAAATGTAAGAATTTTAAACTCAGTAGTTGAATTAGAATAATTTTATAAATTCAAGGATTTATGGTGGAATTTATGTATAGGGCTTGATGGAAATTTTGGTTTAGCGGAGAGAGCAATATGGTCTTTTCTTGTTAAAAATAATTATTTTCCTTTACTTAATGGATAAACACGTGGGATTTGGAGTTATCTGGAACTCCTTCTTTCTCTTCTTCTTCTTGCCGTGTACTCCTCCATCAAAGGTAAGATTATGAAAATTTGTGGATTTCCTTTAATTTTTGGTTTGGTAATGAAAGTTTGGATGTTATATAAGCTTAAGGAAAGCTTATATAGGATTAAAACATCAAGAGAAGTAGATTCGAAATGAATTTATAAAATGGGTATTGAGATGAATTGTTGATATAGTGTAGTTTTTGAAGTTTTATTTGAATATTTGACTTGTCAATGATTTAATTAAGAAGGTAGGAGTATTGGAAATTATGAAGAACATGTTTGAAATTTTGGTATGATTTTGAGATTCAAGTGTTTACAAAAGATTTTGGATAATTAAGAGTAGTAAATGATTATAAGTTGGTTTGGATGTATTAGGGTGAGATTAGAGGATTAATGTGTGTTAAATATAAGAGATTTAGAAAGATTTTGGTTTATTTTCTAAGTGAAAATATTCATTCTAGGCGTGGAGTATCGGTATCGTTAGAACAGTACCGATACTTCAAGGTTAAATCTGTGGCTTTCTAAGGGGTAGTATCGATACCGGTTGAAGAGTGTATCGATACTGAGTTGGTAGTATTGATACCATGGTATGGTATCAATACTATTTTCATGATACAATTCTAGAACCTCATAATTGTATTGGCACCTTAAGGAGGTATCGATACCCCTGAAGGGAAGTATCGATACTTCTAGGCATGAAATGGAAATTAAGTGTTTCTTTAATCATAAGTTATTCTGATTGGATATAAATGATTCGAAGTGCGATATTGATTTTCGATTGTTTTGTGTAGTTGTTGAACATAATCAACTTCCGGTCAGCTCGACGTTATAAGTACATATTCAAAAGTGTCAAAGATTTCACTTAGGACTTCAGTGAGTGCAACTTCTCGGTTTTGTAACATAATTGGGGAAAGCTTGCGATAAGCCAACCTCATTGTTTTCAATCGAAAACTTTACAATTTCCTTCATGTTACATTGCAATGTTTTATTTAATTTATATTATATAAGCTAAGTTTTATGATTATATGATTATGGAAATATGAACTTTGAACAAGTGTATTTGAAAAGACTCTATGTGAATAATAGACACTTTGAATAGTGATTGAAAATAATTATGTGATTAATAGCCCAATGTATATGTATGAGGATTAGAGGTATAGTTGGCATGCCAAGAGTCGAGGGTTTATGTGGTCCTTCGAGACAATTATGTGGTCCTTCGGGACAATTATGTGGCACTTCGATGCAAATTACGAGCTGTGGTGACAACATTAGTGCACAACCTCATAATACTCAAATACCTAGTGTTCTCAGTAGTATACATTAGGCATTTGGAACAAAGCTAAACAAAGTGAAGAATATACAAAAGTATACCTTTTTGATATTGAAAATAAGTTGAAATTCTCTATAAAATGTTTCGATAAAAACCAATAAAGATTTCGTGTATTAAGTTAGCATTATGAGTATTTGCCTCACTAAGTCATCGACTTAGCGTGTGATTTCCTCACGCGTAGGTTTGAAGAAAACTGAAGACTAATTGGTTGAGGATAACATACCCCGTGAAGATCAGATCAGGACAAATTAAATGTAGGTTTTGTTAATTTTATAAACTGTTGGCATGTATTATATGTTTAATTTGAAATGTTCTGATCGATTTTTTAAAACCATATATTTGGTATTTATGTAAATTGTCAAAGCTTTTATGTAAATGTGAATGTGGACTTATTATCTTAATTAAGTTAAAGTTTATACCTTTTTATCTTCATCAAAAATTTTAATTTGTTCTTATTTGTTAATTACATCTGTTTTGAAAAGTTAATGTGATACCTCAAATTCGTATCCGGGTCGGGTACGGGTTAAGGGTGTTACAAGTTTGAGGACGAATGGTGCAATTAACTCTTAAAATAAATGATTTTTAATTAAAATAAATTACATTGAATATAAGACAAATTAAGTGATTATTTATAGTCGAGAAAATTGTGACAATCTGTTAAAACAATTTTTTTTATTAGTTTGTGATAAATTTCGCTTGATAATTGGTAAAGTTAAACTATTAAGTGTTCAAGTCAAGGACTTAGGCGATCAAATAAAAGAAGACTCGAAAGAAAAGCCTTCTATCTTGTAGCTAAGGCATCCATCTGATACAGATATAACATCACATATAAAATAACTCTCCCCTTTGGAAACCACTTATTGCTCTCATCATCAACGGGTGTTGGTACAAGTGATTGAGATTAGGAATTCGAGCTTGTAAGGTCAAATTCGAATCCTACCACTGTCATTCTTAGAGGGCAATATGTAATATCTATAAAAATTCTAATTATATCTTAAGTATACCCTAATTATAGATTAGGGAAGCCTCCCCTAACCTAAATTTTTTTATATATAAAAAAACTTATTCCCCTCCTCGACTACCTTCACTAGGTTCAAGATTCATAATTTTAAAAGGGCGACCCATTAGCTTCCTTTGATGGAACAAGGGATTGCTTTCGTCTCTTTCCTTTTGGGCCAGAAATGGAAGTTGTCGTTTAATGATAAAAGTTGATCTTTTACAAGTTATACAAAAATTTATATCAATTACATACAAACATTTTAAAAAAGAATTACTTTTGAAACTTATTGTCACCTAATTGTAGAGTGTGATAATCATTTTTATAATAGTTAATTATTTAAATTCTAGAATATTTTTAATTTAGAATTAAAATAAATAATTATAATAGATGATAATAAACGATCATGAATGTAGTTTAACCTATGACATTTAGGAAAAGCGTACTCCCCACGACATACGACCCTCGCCGATACGATACTTTGGTGTTGACCTTTGACTCCGTGTGCTTCGCTTCTATGTCAGCCGCTCTCTTCCGCAGCAAGCTTTTCTGTTTATTATTTAATACTAAAATTTCTAATGTTCATAGAAGAAACGAAACACTATATATCTCTGAAACTAAAACCACAACAACCCAGTCCCAGGCTGCAGTTTTATATGATAGCACCTCCATTTGATTCATGGCAGAAGTTGGGGAATGTTCTTCTGCCTCCCAAATTTGGGCTAAGCTTGGTATTACCCTCCCCACCCAATTTCCCATTCTTCTTTCATTTTTGTTTTTCCAAAAAAAAGAAGTAACTTTTCTTCGTTGTTCAATCGTCAGTCTATTGCGTTGTCTTTTCCCTTTTATGCGTTCGTTTGGGAATTATAAGTTAGATTGTATTTAGAGGGTATATTGTACCGAAATGTGAAAAAAAAAGTTTATTCTGGCTTAACCCCAAGTAAAATCATGACTGGGAGCATGCTGTTTCAATCTTGAAACTATTGATCGAATGATTTCAAATAGACTCTTTAACGAGCATACTTTCTGTTAAGCAGTTCATTGCCTTACATTCTTGTCTTATTGCTAAAATGCACCATTTTTGTTGGATATTATGTAGCTCTCATTGCGACAATTATTGATACAATTAGGATAATTTCTGATATGAGGATCTCTCAAAGAATCAAATGTCGGACTTTGACACAAAAATGGTTTTTCGACATGAAGATTCTTTTGCCTGTGATGGAATACTTGAATGAGGATTTTACTGTAGATTTTTAGTGACTTCTTTTCCAATATGGCTCTGGCTATTCATAAAGTTTTAATTTTTGCAGTTCCGTTAGGTGTGCAAGAGTCGGATATTGAGATATGTTCAGATGAGATTATAGTAAGTTCTCAGATCACACTTTCTTCCCAAGTGAAGCGTGACTGGTGCAAAATAACAAGGAATGTGAATATGTTATCCGCGATGATGCAAAATAAAAGGTATCTACAAATCATTCACTAACCTTTGTCTACTTCCTTTTTCTGGTAGCTATGAAGGTTATATTATAATCTCTAAACGTTGGTCTTATTGTCATTCTGAAAGAAAAATGTGCACACAACCAGACTTTTCTACCTGCCTTTTTTGCTTTGAGAAAATTTTAATGAAGTTATTCGTGGAGAGTGGAAACTATATATTTCTTGGCCCATAGAAGTTTATATGATGCAACAAAGTAGTTACAGAGATAGAGTAGGACTAACAAATGATATCAAATGAAATGAATCATCAAAGTAACTTTAGGACCTCTGTCACCTGAAATCACTATCTCCCAAGCTAATTTCGAATTGGTGTACTCCTTCCGAATTTGGGAATACTAGTGATCCAATTCAGTAAAACTAATGATCCCATTGATATATAGTTTATCATAAAATTGTTGACAGTTAACCAATTTTAGAGTTATATATTTAGAGTTGTGAGTTTATATAAACACAAAACTTATATTTATAAGTTCCAGAAAAACGTTTTATGTTCCAATAACTTGTATTTCGATCCTACTAAATGAACCAAAGCAGAGTACCCCTATTGAATTACGTTCTATTTTTTGTTCCTTGTACCGGACTGATCAGCGAACCAGGTAACATTAATTAGGACAGGGTTTCAGTAGCTCTGGCATATCTGTATAGTGGTTTCCATTATAAATATTGTATTCTGTTTCACCTATTATTACTACGTAAACAACTTTTCTAACTTGTTTCTCTTTTCTACTTATGCATTGAGCTACTGCAGTTCAAATGATATGCTTGTTGATGATGCTGTTGTCCAAAGCGGAGATGTCATTGAAATCAAATCTGGCACTGAAATAGTTTTGGGTCTTAATAGAGAAGGTCAGCTTTAGTTTATTTGATTGTTCTTTTTCCATAACTGCCTTGTTTATGACTGAATCATTTTAGTAGATCACTCTGTAACTTGTTCCTTACATTGTTTATCTTCTTGATTTAGATAGTAATCTATTCAAAGTGCATCTCATTGATTAAAGTTGCCAATCGATATCAATGATTAGATTGTGAAGTGTTGCGATTGCTTTCTGATTCTCCTTTTCAAATTAAAGGGACATGTGAGTTTAGTATCTATTGAAAATGAGGGCACTATCATTTTCTTAAGTTTTTATCATTCGACTGGAGGGAGTTGGACATTGTTCTCGAGGGTCAGGGGTTCTCTCTTCCCTCAAAAGGTGATGGTTTGAGTTGAATATTGTTTAGTGTGACAAAAAGGTTATAAGAGAGGGAAACATCTTCATGGATAATATGCTATGCCTTTTGGAGTTTACTGTTGGTTTCATACCCTGCTGCTACATAATTTTATAAACAGAAGTTATCACTATTAGGAACTCTTTACATCTTGATCAATACAGATCATTTTGTTTTTTCTGAATTTGGATTTTTCTGCTTATAAACAAGTTCAGCCTTATTTGTTATACTCCAAAATAAACTGGCAAAAATGGTACTTACCAGCTACCACAATACTTTCAAAAAATGTGTTGTCTAAATTTTATATTGTTTTATATATGTCACATTAAGGACCTTTGGAACTGAAAAATCATTGTCATATTTGGATAATTGGCTTTAGATAATTAGTGCAGTAGCTTTGGTGGATGGAATTTTATTACAAGTTTTGAAGCTATGGTTGACGAGTGTTATGATCTTGATTAGACTATTTGTTTGTTTATTTTCTCAAACTTACCATCTTACCTTTTTCTTATTTTTTCCCCTTTTATCCTCCTCTTTAAACTGTATTGTTGTTTTGTTCTCTATTACTGTGCTGCTTTACTGGGTATAATTTAAATTGACAACCATCCGTGTTTTTCTGTTAAAAGGCAAACATATAAATCATGTTGTCCATGAGCCAACATGCACCATTTCTACCCTTTTGCCTGAAAGAATTTATCTTTCATACTGTCTAATACACCTTTCCGTGATCTATGGAAACAAAGTGCACCAAATCAGAACTTTACCAGTAATGCAGCATAATAAAATAATGATATGTTAAAGGAAGACCACACATCTTGTTCTTGTCTGTTCATTTCGTGTGCCAAGAAAGGAATCCTAGTGATTGTGTGTTGAGAAATCTGTACGACAAATTTATCAGTAAAAGTCAAATTTTGTATGTCATAACATTGGAACCCAAAATAGAATGTTGGCAACTTAAAATTGTACAGCAGTCTTGCAAACAGAGTAAAAGAGGAACTTTTCAAACAATTTAAGTTTCAGCAATTATAGTGGGGCATAATAATACTCAAAAACCAGAATACCACTCAAGAAAATCATTTACTTGTATCAAATGAAAGGCATCATAAGCAGGGTCCCAGAGAGGGAGATAACAGAAAATGAGGGAGCTATTATCAATATCATAGATCATTTTCCAGATGTGACATATTGTCAAACCAAGTTGCTCATTCAGATTGACAAAATTGCCCATGTTGGAATATTTTATTTCAAAAGGCTGCAAAATTTGACAATTGCAGGACAGAGCGTCAAAGTAAGCTTGCTTGTAGTGAAAGGCATGTTTAATGAAATGTGCAACATCGGTCATCCATAGAAAACACCACATGCGACAAGAACAATGAAAACAGTGACACATTGGGAACTGTCTACAAAAAATAGACATGAACATCAGATCACTATGTACCGGTCTAAATGTTTCATGATTGCACACAGGATAAAATTCACCTCTGGTAACCCTTTGAGCGTGCCAATATGCACCACAAAATGTTCCATCACATCCTGAACCTGCAAAAATGAATTAAAGATTCTTAAGAAATGGTTTGATCTGGAATGTCAAGAGACATTCCCGAGAGGTTCCCAAATTTAAAATTACATACAACTGGATAGGGACTATATTGAAATTTTAATAAATTGAGTGGTGGAATGGCATTTAAAGCAAGAACCCAGTCAATTACTACCAGGGTAGAATGAGGAAAGAAGTTATAGAGAGAAAATGCAAAGTGGACAAAATAAACTAGAGGGAAACAGAGGAAATTGGAAGGCAACAGAAAAATGAGGGTAAACCAGAAAGAATCATCAGAAAGAGACAAATTTTAACACTCGGTAACAAACATTGTTTTTCCTCCATCAATCCCGCATACCAGTACTTACAATGTTGTGGTACATGTGTATCGGCCCTAGAAGGCATCATTCCACCACAATTTTGACATTGTAAATGGATTGTTTGCTGGTTGCATTGAAACCCACCAATTTCAGAGCCTGAAAGTTGCAGTTGAATGAACATCTATTAGAAAAAGAAAGAATTAGGCAAAAAGTACATAAAAGCTAATGCAGTGTTTGGTTGGGAGAATAGTCATTACACTCCCCAATGCTAATGCAGTGTTTGGTTGGGAGAATAGTCATTACACTCCCCAATGCTAATGCAGATGTTTGCTTCACAGAATGTTTATTCAATGTAATAGCCAATACAACCTCATCACTGAGGCTATAATAGCTATTCTTGGCTTTGTTATTCATGCCCTACACCATTTAGTATGGAAAGCCAGAAAATAAACCTCCCATTTTCCCTTCTAAAATGAGAGTAGATAGTGGAGAAAGGAGGAAATAAAGAAAAAAGGTTAAATTGAGAAGTAAATGAAAGAGCACAATGATGCCAGATTATCCAGGTAGAGCTGGCAATAGAAGCAGCTCCTACAAGAGAGATAAAGTGCCAAGAAACCCAAAAAAAAATTCTCAAATGACGCAATAAATAAGTAATGCAAAGACAACAATTTTCTCTCTTCAAGGTTTTGGGTAAAGAGAATGTTTTGAGCCTTAGGGGCTTAGGGCTTCAAATTTGGGGAGGATGAATAGGAGTGTCAAGAGATGAGCATGCCAAAATTTGGCAACGGATGAAAAAAAGAGGGTTATTTGTGCAGTGTTTTTCTAGTCAATGGATGGCAAAAATTAAAGTAAAGCTACTTATAATATGAATAAGAAATCATATCAAACAATGTATGTTTAATTGTTTATATTAAACAATATATGCATTCAAATATTTTTCCAAAATAGTTTTAAGCATAATACTTAAATAAAAACCATTAAATGATTTCATATATTACTTTTAAAAATCTTAAAAAAATAATTTTATTTTTTTATTTGATAATTCATTACTATATATAGAATATTTAAATAATAACATAAAATATTAATAATGTTTATTATTCAATTCAATGGGTAATAAAATGGTTATTTTGTTCATATTCCTTGCAGTTTCTTCAGCATTACTTTCAACAACCAAACAACGTAAATAGTACTTTTTCTGGAGAAAAAGTTATGTATTTTTAATTTATTCTATTCAATGAACCAAACATCGTGATACTTATTCTCCCTCTATTCTATTCCCTACCGAATATATATTTCATTCCTCATCTATTCTATTAAATGACCCAAATGTGTTGTAAGTTCATTATTTAAAGCATGTAAGTAGAAGACAGAAAAGCCAACTAAAGGTACGAAAAGAATAGAGAGATCTCGTTGCTATCCATTTTTCTATTTTCTATTTTCTTTTTTTCTTCTTTTGAATGCAATGCAAAATAGAACCATTAAAGACCGAGAAAGAGAAGTCGGGGCATTGCATAATATAAAGAGAAGAAAGAAAAAAGAAGTCGAGAATTTGGGGAAAACGGAAGAAGATAAAAATCTCACCACATTGAGGGCATTGAGGTCCTTCGTCATCACTTTCTTCACTATCATATTCATCACTAACAAATGCCGGACCCCTTTTCCTTTGACTACCTCTTTCAGTCCCAATGACCTAGCACCAGTACAAACAATGTGACAGGAGGAGAAAAAAGAGAAACATCACAAGTAGATTATACCTAAATAACTTATGCAGTACAACAAATATGGCTAACTTCTGAGGATGGATGTTATAAGAAAGAAATTAATTCTAAGGGGACCTCAATCGAAAGGAGCCTTTTGCAACACTGATACATTGCGGTGCTTTAGCATTTTAAACTACTAACTGAGGATAGTCTTGAAGGTTATGCTCAGTGATTTCCCAACTAAAATGAGAACTCCTAGAAGTCTGGTAATTAATTATAATTGAAAACAACAGTTAGGCTACTGTAAGACATCTAAACATGGAAAATTTCTCTTGTTACCACACAACATAACAAAACAAAAGTTAACTATAGCATTGGGAGCTAACTGTAGGTTAGGATGCACAACCAATATCTGCATGTTAATCATTAGTCATTACATGTCATATTTGACTTACCCAGAGCATCAATAGTCAAGGCAATTTATCATAGTAAAGTTCTCTCATTGACAAACCAGAAAATAAATTACAAAAATTCAGAGTGCAACTACTCACAAGATTTGATCTTATCGTCGCATAAGAGTCTATAAGTGCAATTTCTTCATTTGAACTTTTTAAAGAAGGATCCGCTTGCAGGATCTCCTGAACAAAAAAGCAGTCAACTAGATAAAAATGAGAAAATCAAAATAATATCACACCCTACTCTAGGAAATTGACACAGATTTCAAACCCTTTAAGTGCTCAATGCTCATACATAGAAACAATAATAACAGCAAGATGTGATAAGGAGACCTCGATGCATACAGAAGAGGCCCAAAGAACAGATATCACTAACTTTCAAGACGTGCAATAAACTGGAAACACAGAAGGGATTTGTGAATAAAAGCTTTCCCGTTATATCCAGAGATGGCCAATAGCAAGTTTGAGTCGAGTTCTAATTGGGTTCAAATAGTTCTAGATTTGGTTCAGATCATAGCTCAGATGATTCCTGTTCGAACAAGTTTTGGGCCATTTAAGATTTTCAAGTGACTACTTTTGCAACCTAAGATCACTTTTTTCTCTTCAAACAAGTTGTCAAGTCAATATCTTAGATTAAATAAATAATTTCATATATAAAAATGCTACGTGAAACTAAAAGTTTATAAATATTCTTTAACAGAAAATTTAAAGTAAAACTCCTTCAATTTAACTGCATCAGACTGAGAAATTCAATATCCATATTGCAAATGAAAGAATTTTAATTTAGGAGTCATTTGAATATTTTCCATTTTAATATAGAAATCTAACCTATCCATAGCATTTTTTGTCGGGAGATATAACTATAACATCCTAAATTCAAAAGCTAACTTCTTTATGGTATACATTGTAGTCACTTTAAAGTTCATGTTAATTAAAAATAAAAAACAGGAAAAATTATGTGATTTCAATTTTCATTTTAAAAAATATATAATATTCCTATCTTTTGTCCTTGCTTGCACGGACATTTTCTAATTGCTTGTCATGCAGTAGATCTTAGGGGCCGAAAACTGAGAAAGACCAGAGCCACTTAATAGGGTTGAGGATCAATAACAAAATTTAACAGTTACGGCCCATAATGTAACCAACTTAGAATTAGGATTGTTCATGCTATTTATTCCTATTTCACCCATAAAAACATGTTCTTAAGGTGAAAAGTAAAATCTTTGGAGTTTTATCAATTGACTTTAACAAAAGTAATCTACAAATTCTCTTGTTTTAGTCCTCCCAATTTCAAATTCACTAGCATTTGCTTAATCACCAACAAGTAGAGAAAAAAGTAAAAAAAATGCAACCAGGCATATCTGTAAGTAGCACAATATTAACTGCTTACACTATATTGCCTCTAATATATGTTGGCAGTTTGAAGCTACTGACATGATAACTGCAGCACCACCATGTCATTCGTTTCGGTCATCAGTTATGGGTGTTTTTTCATTTACTTTAGATGGTACTCTGCTACTAATTGGGGATTCAAGCCATATTCCCAAATAAAAATAAAAATAAGAAAAATTCAAAATGTTACCTCCTCAATATTGCGCAGAAATGGGTTTCTTCCAGCAAATTGTACAACAGCTCTACACTGGGGGCATAAAACTCTTGAATGTTTCTTCTGTGACCTCTCTAACCACTCAGAAAAGCATCCGTTGCTAAAGGCAATAGAAGGAAGTTAGAACTAAGATCAATTGTAGCAATCTACATTACTGAAACAATCAACAAATAAACTACATACCAGAAGTTATGAAGGCAAGGAGCAATAGTGATAACATCATGCCATATATTCAAGCATATGCTGCATTTTGCATGCTCAACATCTATACAGATCTGGGAAAATGCCACGAAAAGAAAATATATGTGTGTGTGTATATATGCTATAAGCAAATCAATTGATAACACTGACCATGAGAGAGAAAAATATTAAAGATGATATCTGTGATCCACCTTCAATTGTTTTTTGCAGGTTTCTTGACCAGGGATCAGTTTAAATATGTAGCTCAAGTATTCTGGAAGAAACAAGAAAAAAATTAAGACATTAACCAACCAACACATGTTACATCATTTAAAAAACTACTACTATTATTTAATAAAAATATAGAAGTTCTGCTGTACCAAATATGAAATCTTTCAGTATAAATGGTGCATATTGGCTCATGGACAATAAAAATAATGAAATTAACCAACCAGCACATGTAACATCATTTTAAAAACTACTGCTATTATTTAATATAATTATAATAAAAAAAATTACAAGTTCTGTAGTCGGGCAGAACCTTACAGGAAGTTGTTGCAGAATGGATTAGAAAGCTAAACAATAGGGAAATTGGTATGTTAATATTTTATCATATTCTTTTTGCTCCAAAATTGGATGCTTAATTCTCGTGTGCTGTCCAAGTAACAAAGGTTCTATTGGTACGTCATCTTAATCTTTATCTTTTAGTAATTTAACCTTTCTTATCTCTATTCATTTGTTCCAACCTTTCTTATCTTTTAGCATTATGTGCTGCAAATTACCGAGGAAAAAGTTTTGGTTCAAATTGACTGAAACAGGCTGGTATATTAATGAAAAAGATCTGGTCCCAGCAATAAAGTATTAAACGAGATTAAGTTTATGCATACTGTTCTCATCAGCATGTAATAACACTATGGATACAGCACTATAAATCATGTACAAACAACACTCAAATAGTTGACCTCAATACTTTTTTTAACTTCTATATATTATTGTAATTTTGTTACTTTTGGGTTTCACTTGCTCCATGATTGATTTTCCTAAACTTCTCTAGTTTTGTTTGTGAAGATAATTTTGCTTGCTTGCAGACCGAACAAGGATGCCACTCAATCACGCTGAGAGGATAACTGCAGAAACTCATGTTTGCAGGTAATGTTTGAGTCAATTAAAGTGTGGTTCGAAATCTTCATCTTTAAGGGATCCTATCCTACACCTTCCATTGTCAACAATACCCAAAGGACCAACATGTTTCCTGCAAAAGCTCATATTTGATTCTTTTCATATAAATAAATACGAATATATGTTACGTATTATATTCTAGGGACTAGGGTTGACCATCTTTTTTTCTCTGAGAGTGGTGGTGTATGGTTTTCTTTTTTGAATGCAGCACTTGCTACGAAAAGTTGGTCTCCTTTCTTTTGTATTGGTACCGGATATCTTTACCCATTTATGTAAGCATTTTTTTATTTCCCAAGTTGATAATTATGAAATTATAAGATCTGAGATAATTGATTTTGTGGTGCTGGTTTAATTTTCCTAACTGGTTTCTTCTTACTTCACTGCTGATTCGACATATGATTATAGCACCTACTGCCTGATGCATCGCAAAGGGAGGACTGCTGGTATGGACATGCTTGTCGAACACAACACCAAAATGAAGAACATGCTAGGAAAAGAAATCATGTGTGTCGTCCTACAAGGGGAAGCTAGTATGTAGCTTCTTTCTTGCGATGATTAAACTTAGGCCCTCCTATCAACATATATGCTCTTACTGCTCATGTTTCTTCGTTTTGTTTACTCAAGTCAGAGGGTATTTTTTAGCCTTTACAGTTTCAATATTGGTTCTGATTTATAAAACTTTCATTAAATCCCATGACAGTAGTTTGCATTGCATGCGCCACATTGGTTTGAGATGAGTATGGGACGTGGGATGTTATTATTTAACCGAATCATGCATGCATGATTCGACAATTTTCTTCAAACAAGTACTAAGGGGTACTTTTATTTATTCATCCAAGGGAAACAGAAGCACGAAGCAGTGGACATTCTAACAGCGGTGGCGGCGGAAGCCTCGGCACTTGCCATTTGAAATACCTTCGTTCCTATACACCATACCACAGTTGTGGTTACTAACACATGCTCCCTTATATTTATGGCTCTTTGACTCATTATTGTCACCACCATCTCTGCCAACGTAATTAAGCAGATAATAGATTACAACGGTTGTTTAATTTTGTCTAATTTTGTCGATTTTGAGTGAGTCTTATAAAAATAAAGATAAGTGAAATATGGATGTTTTGATATAGATCTTGTTGTGTAAAAAAAATGAGCAATGCTAAAAAGTTAATTGTTCAAAATTTTAGTGATAAAATTGATATATTCATAATATTTAGTGTCTAGTAGGGCTGTAAATGAACCAAATGAATATGAACGAGAGTATGTTCATGTTCGTTCGTTTAACAAAACAAATGAACGAACACAAACATAAACAATTTTTTTTTTGTTCATGTTTGTTCTTTAAAGAATGTAGTTTGTTCATGTGTGTTCATGTTCGTTCATTTAGATGATAAACGAACATAAACAAATGGATGTAAACGAACATAAATGAAAACAATAAACGAATATTAATGAACACAAACGAACGAATGTAAACGAACACAATAAATGAACATAAATGAAAATAGATTTTTTCCTTCCTAAAAATTTTAGGATTATATTTTATTTAATAATTTTGAGTTTTTTTTTATTTGTACTTAAAATTAATTGATTTTTAAAATATTTATGAGTTTCATATTAAAATTTAATGGACTTTAATATCTTAAATGTGTCTAGAGAGATTGGGTTAAACATAAATGAACGCACATAAACGAACGAACATAAATGAAAGAACATAAACGAATATATTACCGAACGTTAACGAACGTAAATGAACGAAAGAGTTCTCTCTTCATGTTTGTTCATTTAATTAAACGAATACAAAATATTGTTCATGTTCGTTCATTCAATAAATAAACGAACTTCCCGCTAAACGATTCACAAACAGTTCACTGAACGTTTAATTCGTTTACAAGCCTAGTGTCTAAACATTGTATTAGGCACCTCATCATATGATGTAATTTTTTCCATGTTATTACACCGTTTGTATTTTAATAATCTACTAGTGCAATTGAAATTAAAATCGACGCATGATGAGAAATTAAAGTTTAGTGGTTTTTTGGTGTGGTTTTTTGGTTCATAGTTGAGTGGTCACCCGTATAGTTTATTCTTTTTATTAAAGATTCATAGTGAGAAAAAACTCTACCGTCAAGTGTATCTTACTATATTACTTGATCGACAAAAAATAATAATTCTAAATATCATCCCTTGACTTTACTAAAATAAATTATAAATCAATTATACTACATTAGTTGTAACAACCCACATCAAGTTCTAAAAAATTACAAGAAAAATATATATTACATTTGATGACTTAATTAAAACTTTTCCTTATTATCTAAAGTAAAAGTAGAGAATATAAGAAAAGAAAGATGGGTGAATCAAGTGTCTAGAAGACAAAATTAACAAAAATGACTGAAGACTGGTCTCCTCCGACGAACTCTGATCTAACCAGAAAGGTTCGTCTCAAGCCTACGGAGAATGAAGCTAATCAAGACGCAAAAATGATGATTGACAACCAAGAGCCCTCTTTGAAATCTTATGCTGCAACCTGGAAAACCTAATGAAGCTTCTGGTAGTTTCGTTATTGCTAAGGAGGATGAAGAGGATATAGATATCATGGATGACGATATCATCACCGGGATACAACATGACTTACCCTCCATCCGATTCTCTGAACGACCATACAAATTGATGGAAGCAAGCATGACTAATACCGTTGTTTTGAAACTTCTTGGCCGCAATATTGGTTTGAATGCCTTTACTAATAAAGTCTTTGCGCTCTGGCGTCCTTCCCAACCTTTTATGGATCTTGAGAATGACTACTTTCTGTCTAGATTTCAATCCAAAGAAGATTATAGGAAGGTTTTAACAGATGGTTCTTGGATCATTTATGGACAATACCTGACGGTCCAACCTTGGTCCTTCAATTTCAGTACGTCACAGCCGTATCCTGCTTGGATTCGGCTTCCAGGTCTTCCAGAGTTCATGTACAAAAAATTCATTTTAATGGGAATGGGTAAGCTGATTAGAAAGGTGGTGAAACTCGATTTCCACAAAGACACTAATAACAGAAGACGTTTCGCCCGTATAGCTGTGTATGTGGGTTTGAAGCAACCTTTAGTGTCCCAAGTGGTCATTGAAAATGAAATTCAAAAAGTGGAGTATGAAAACCACTCACAAATTTGTTTTTCGTACGGGAGGTTTGGATATATGAAAGAGGCATGCCCGTTTACCATCCTTGAACATACAAACGGGGATATCACCTCTACCAACCTTGTCTCGTCACCTCTTCCTAATAATCCCCATTCGACTTCCTTCGAGAACTCGCCAGTTATCACAAACAAGTCGGTGGAAGAAGAACTGTATGGCCCTTGGATGGTCGTTGTACGGCAAAGCCTGTGATAAACCACGGGGATGGACAAGAAAAGGGAAATTTCTAAAGGATCCGATAAATCCGGAGCCATATTCGATGTGTTAAATGATAATTCCACCCTCAAAGGAAAGCCGATCAATGCACAAAGGAAATTCAGGGAGAGAATGTTGCTGACACGCCTTCAATGGATATTCCCAAAGATAAAGTGACGCTTGTATAGTTGGAAAACCTTACCATATCCACAGAGAAACAAGATTCCAAACCTAGAGGCAAAAATCTTGACACCCCTTCGAGTCCAAGTTCTCCATCTATTCCTTCAAAATCTGGGAAACGTACCGAACACTAGGGTGGCAATTGGGGCAACCAAAAACAGTAGGGATCCGAACCGACAGGATTGAGAATAACCGAGATTTTTACCCACGGAGATGGGGATGGAAAGTTTAATCTCCGAAGCTCAAATGGATTCCATGGGTATAACTGAATCGTATCCGTGTGAATAACTATAAGGATCCTTGATATTTTACAAAAGTTTAAAAATATATTATAATTAAAATTGAAGTTTAAATCTTTTCTCATTTAATATAGATTGATTTGTTGAAATTAAAAACATTTAAAATTGTAAATATACATTGAGTGTTAGATGAATATTGACGTTTGAAACTTTCATATTATGGACATAGACTAATTTGAGACAATCTTATATATCTTATAAGTTTTAGGTGTTATATTAATTTAAAAAATATTTATTTATTTTTTTAAATGAGGATTAACCAAAAATAATGATGATGAGAAAATAAAAACTCAAAAATATAATGGGGATTCCCTACTCACAAGTGTCGGAGACGGAATGAAAACCGTCCCCGTCCAGTTGCACCCCTATCAAACACACAGACTAATCGACCAAGGAGGTGGGACCAAATAAGGTTCACGTGACAATTTACTACAACCGTGCACAATCTCATGCACGTTCACGACGCTAGTATTCCTTCCCCACCATCCAGTCTTGCTGGAAATTCGAGCAATGAGACCCCAGCGGCCTTAAACTCTAATCGTTTGGAATCTCCTTTGCCCAAAACTCCCAACCTGGTGAGTATTAATGGTTTAAATTATTCAACTAATTTTAATTCCATGTTTGAAAATTATCTAGGGGTTGAAGGAAGGATAGGGCAGACGACCCTTGACACATCAATGAACAAGGTGATCTCTTTCCATTTGAGCCTTTCTCCGCCTGATCTGGCTTCCCCGAGGCTTCATAGAGCCCATCGTCAACCGATGGCCAAAGAAAGGACAATTACCTACGTCATTCATTCTAAAGGAGTTCGGATGAAGAAGAATCATCCTAACAAACCTCTGGTTCGAGAAGCCATAGATAAAGTCTTGTTGGACATTCAAAACCAAGTTCACTCCCAATCGGAGGAAAGTAAAAGTTCATAACTCCTGTCTGGTACAAACCAGTAATTGGTAACTTTTCTCCCTTTGTCTTTTCCATGGATTTTTCGCTTCTAACGTGGAACTGTCAGGGAATAGGTAGTTGCAAATTTCCTTGTATTTTTAGAGAGTATATGCAGAAATACGACAAAAAATGGTGTCTCTTTTGGAGCCCAGGATCAGCGGTCCTAAAGCTGATAAGGTTATTTTGAAACTCGGATTCGAGTGATGCTACAGAGTGGAGGCCATAGGTTTTTCGGGCGACATTTGGATCCTTTGGAATACCCCTATCTCTGCTAGAATCTTGGCTGCTCATCCACAGTTTGTCCATTTGGAAATTTCTAGTAAGCATGGTTTTTCCCATTCTTACTCACTGTCGTGTACGGTAACCCTGAAAGAAGGAAGCGAAGAGCCCTTTAGAGGGATATCATTGCCTTAAAGATTACTAACGCTACTCCTTGGCACTTAAGTGGGGATTTCAACGCCATCCTCTCTAGTTTGGATAAGGCGGGGAGTAACCACCGGGGTACGGGATGTAAGCTTTTCAAACTTTATTCATGATTACAATCTGTTCGATCTCGGATTCAAAGGCCCCGAATTTACCTAGAGGCGAGGGGGGACTTTTGAACGCTTGGACAGAGTTATTGCTAATGATTAATGGAATAATGTTGCTCCTTCAACAACGATGTTCCATCTCCCCAACTTAAATCGAACCACCGATACATTCTTCTCCGTACTTCCATTGTTTCTAACAGTTTTGTGCCGAGACCCTTTCGTTTTCTCGCAGGCTGGATAAAACATCAAAATTTCAATTCCTTTGTTAAAGATAATTTCATCAATGCGGGGAATTTGCAGACTAATATCAAGGGTTTCATTAAGGCTCTTCGTAACTGGAATAAGAAAGTGTTTGACAATATATGTCAAGAAAAGAAGAACCTGAAGAGTCAAATCTCTTCCATTCAAGTTGCGATGGACAGAATGCTAGTACTAATCTTCAAGAGGTGGAGATAGATTTACGCACTAAATTAGAGGTTATTCTGGATCAAGAAGAAATGCTTTGGAAGTAGAAAACTCAAATCACTTGGTTATATGAGGGAGATTGCAACATGAGGGTTTTTCATAATCATGCTTTTGCTTGTCAAAAGTTCAGTCGTATTCAAGCTGTCTGTATCAGCCGCGAAGAGTGGTGCTATGATGAGGACACGCTAAGAAATGAGGCTTCAACGTTTTTTGAGTCCCTTTACCGTGACGAAGGTACTTTCCCGGAGCCGTTTCCTATCCGAAACGCCTTCCCTAAACTCCCGTTAAGGATACTCAAATGCTTGAAGCTCCAGTGATGGACGAGGAGATTAAACAGGCGCTCTTTGATATGAACCCTCTCAAGTCTCTGGGTATTAACTGTTTGAATGCCCTTTTATTTCAAAACCAATAGAATACAGTGGGAAACTCAATCTGCAATTGGGTTAAGAATATTTTCAATGGAGCGCAAATGGACATGGAATTCAGCAAAACCATTTTGGTCCTGATTCCTAAAAGGGAGTGCCTTCATTCTTTCACTGACTTTAGACCTATAAGTTTGTGTACTTTTTTATATAAACTTGTGATGAAAATCATATCCAATAGGTTTAAAATCATTTTCCCTAAAATTATTGCTTCTAACCAAACCAGTTTCATTGCAGGTCGCAGTTTTAACGGATAATATTATGGTGGCACAAGAAGTTATTCACTCTATGCGAAAGAATAAATGGAATACCAAATGGATGACCCTTAAAGTGGATATTGAGAATGCTTATGATAGAGTCGCTTGGGGTTTTCTCTTTGATCCATTCGTGATTTGGGTTGCCTTGAAAATATCCATAGCTCTGTCACAACTTCGTCTTTTTGGATCTAGTGGAACGACTCTCTCTCGAAGGCCTTCAAGCCGTCTAGAGGCATGCGCCAACGATATCCGTTGTCCCCTTATCTCTTCGTTATATGCATGGAACGTCTAGGGAAAAGCTTGCAGTATGCTATGGATGTTGGCCTCTAGGAATTAATGATTCTTTCTCGTGGAGGACCTAAGCTTTCACACTTATTCTTTGCGACGATCTCCTTATTTTTGTACAAAGCGACAGATACATATGCTAATCTTGTTGGTGCTATTCTTGATCAATTCAGCAGGTTTTCGGGTCACAAGGTGAACACGAATAAGACTAAAATTTTCTTCTCTTCTAATGTTGAGGAGAGCCTTGCTACCAATATCCGTTCACAACTAAGATGCCAACATTCGCTTGACCTTGGAAGTGATTTAGGCATGTCTCTTTTTCATAAGTGGGTCACAAAAAGCACTTTCCAGTTTATTATCGAGAGGGTTAAGAGCAAACCGAACAACTGGGAGGCCACTAAGCTCTCTCAGGCGGAGCGTGTCACTCTCGCTCAAGAAACGCTATTGGCCATTCCAAACTATTTTATACAAACGGTGATGTTACCTAAAGGGATATGCCAGCAAATCGAGTAAATCGCTCGTCGTTTCATTTTGGGTGGTACCACGGATAATCCTAAAGTTGCTCTAGTCAATTGGCACACTTGTTGTCAACCTACCGATCATGGTGGTCTCGGTCTTAGACCTGACACTGTCCAAATAAAGTTTTCCTTGTGAAGTTAGGTTATAACCTTTTAATGAAAACGGATACTCTCTGGGTGACGATCCTCCGTTCGAAGTACAAGAGCTTTGTCCTACGAACATTGTCTCTATGAATTACTCTTTTACTTGGAAGTCCCTCTCTCGGGTTTGGAATATTTTCCGTGAGAATATTTGTTGGTCCATTGATGACGGTAAAGCTACTAACTTTTGGGAGGACTCTTGGATCCACACTTCGAAACCGCTTAACACCATGGTGAACTCTGCCCATCCTTATGATAACCAGGTCATGGTTCGTGATTTCGTCGGGATTGATGGCAACTGGAATATCTAGAAGCTCAGGAACCATCTTGATGAGGACACTATTCAGTGGGTTCTGGCCATCCCTCCTCCTAGTAACGAGATGGGCGCTGATCAACCCATTTGGAGCTGGTTGGACAAACGAGATTGTTCTGTTATGTCAGCTTTTCATTTAATGCAAAGAGGCTCATGGGATAACAAAGATAAAAGGTGGCAAATTGCTTGGGACTATGATGGTCCGCAAAGGGTGAAGCATTTTATTTGACTGGCCATCCAAAATCGTCTCATGACCAACTCGGAACGTGCTAGACGTGGCATATCTTGAGTCTCCACCTTCCCGGTCTGTAATACCAGTGAGGACACCGTCGTTCATGTCCTTCGTGACTGTCCCGCAGCGAGAATGGTTTGGGACCAGATCGTTACTAATAACCGCAGGGCTCCCTTCTACTCTTTAAATTTGCTGGACTGGTTTCCTGCTAATATTTCTTCCAATGTAGGTCTTAATAAAGAAGATTATCTCTGGAGGCGTATGTTCGGGATTATCGCCTGACGTCTTTGAAAACTCCGTAATTGTTTAGTATTTAATGGGCGGGTCTGGTCTTCACTAGAAATCATCAACTCCGCTCGTGTCTGGGCACATGCCATTAAAGCTAAAGCTGGAGATAGCCAAACTGTTCATCCTATGTTAACCCCTAAGAAAAGATGGAGAACTCCTAAGAATGGAGTGGTAAAGTTAAATACTGATGGAGCAAAGAATCCGCACACTATGGCCGCTGCGACTGGTGGAGTTTTCAAGGACGATAACGGTCAGCAGATTATCGGCTTCATCGTCACATTGAAAAATGCTCGGCTCTCCATGCCGAGTTTTAGGCCCTTTTGGATGGTCTCTACATAGCTTGGGAGCGGGACTTTAGAGATCTTGAAGTGGAATTTGATAGCAGAGAGGTCGTGGACTCTCTAAGCAGCCCTCTCTGGTTCACGAGGCTTCCATTATTCGCAGAATTCACAGGTTATTCCACCGCTTGTGGAGCATCAAGCTTCAGCATGTTAACAGGGAAGCCAACAAGGTTGCGGACGCCCTTTTCCATGCTGCTCGTAAAGACAGCAACGACCTTTACCTGCTTCCCCAACCTCCGGATGAGTGTAGGCTGTTGGTGAATTTGGATATGTCAAGCCAAGAGTTTTAATTCCACTGCTTTGCAGCGTCTTTTTGTAACCAAAAAAAGTAGAGTATATAACACTAGGAATCATATTTAATAGGAATAGATAGCTATGATATTATACAGAATCCAATTGGGTCCTCCTCTGCTTAAGTAAAGTTGGGAAGAAAACAGCAAACCTGGACAGCCGCTGAAACCATTGCCATAACACAACTTATGATAGCAACAAAGAAACCCAACATTTCCTTCAGTCAGATCTACCTAATTATTAGTGGAATGATAAAAGAATTTAATATGAATCTATTGGTTTCCTATGTTCAACTGTCAAATAATATTTTTATTTTATTTAAAATTTATATAAAAATATGTAAAGATGTAAACTACACATATGGTTACTAATATTTGAGTAAGTTTTTGTTTTTCTCTCTAAAGTTCAAAAGGAACAAATTGGTCATTAACGTTTTCGATTTATAATAAATTGACCACTTAATGTTATTATAGGTGATGAAACCACTTATTTAGACCATTGATTGCCAGGTTGTACTCCTTGTTGACCCAAGCTTATAACCCAGTTTCACCTTCATCTTCACCCTCCTAACACCAAACTCTTTGTTGCAGGTCCCATCTTTTCTCTTTTTCTCACCTTCAATCTTAAGAGTTAATATCTCTTTCTCAGACTAATTATATACTTTCTCACGATATAATTACAATTAACTATATAAAGCATGTATTTTACATAAGATTTCATGCAAGTTTACATGGCTTGAAGGATTCTCCCACTGAACAAGTTCCCTTATTCCTTCTTCAATTATTTTCCTTGTTTCTTTTGTTAAAGCTTTAATGCAACAAAAAGTTGTGTTAGGAGGGGGAAGATGAAGGTGAAATAGGGTTATTAAGCGCAGGTCGACAAGGAGTACGTGGCAATCAACGGTCTAAATAAGCGGTTAATAGGCTAGGTAAGCTTTCCGTCACCTATATTAACATTGAGTGAACAATTTGTTATAAATAAAAAACGTTAGTGACCGATTTATTACTTTTAAAACTTTATTGAAAAAAACAAAAACTTACATTAGTGACCATTTGTGTAGTTTACCCAAAAGATAAAAACATCCTTATAATAATATTAGTTTTCAAAAATAGAGATTTTTTTAATAATTTACCAACTGATTCGGTATCAAATTGACCCGTTATACCAACAAAGCTTTATATGTGATGTAGATAAATGATCTCCATTGTCAAGAAAGAGAGATAATATAGATTGACTGAAGACATTCCCTTTTCAGTTTTCACACACACAACTAATTTGCATGCAGATCTTTTTCTCAAAGACTTAAAAACTATTCCCTGAATCAGTGTGTGATTTTAATGCATTGAATCTCAACACCCAGTTCCCACGTATTTTACCAATGAACATGTTCTCCAATACAAATGTATGTAAGTTGCTGCTTATCATATCAAAATTTACACTTATCTTCATTACGAGAGACAGTCAGATTTAGCGAAACAAGGGCAATATCCCCCACTGATGCAGAAATCCCTCTCCGGTTGTGACCTCGAGTAGCAACAGCACAAGCACGGCAAGCATGGCTGCTCTGCCATTCCAAGTTTCAGCACTTTTCGTCCAACCCCATTCCCAAACCGTCACAGGTGGTGGGAGCTCCCTTCGTTGTGAATCATAAGTTGCCAATAACTCCTCCACACTTCCCAGGGGAACTAATGACTGCACAAAAACACAATGTCAAACCATGGCATTCTGCAATTGAAACAACACGATGTCACTTTTGTATCACCACAAAACCCAATCTTATTCCTAACTCTTCTTTGAGGTATTACAGTCCTTTCATCGTTCACGTACTCGGGAGTTCATTTTATAACATTAACCAGAAGAAAAGCACCATCAGTGGGGTACCAGAACTAAACTAATTTATCCCGTCAAGATTTCAAAAGGTGCCATGTGATTTTAGGAAACAGTAATGCCGTACTACGGTCTGAACTCTGAAGTTCCTTACAGTCCCATCATTCAAGTGAATAAATGAAACACATCAAGGCATCACATGTCATGTAAGATGCAACCATGCATTTTTTTCATGCAAATAAGCTTAGTTGCAACATGCATACATACAAAACGTATTTGAGTCTTCGTATATTCGATAAACCCAAGCCATATTTTTATGCTCTAAAAAAGGCACTTCTATTAAATTATAAGAATATAGTGGAAAGCTTTAAAGTACCTGTCTAGCTTCAAGATTTGAAACTGCCATAGCTCCCACATATGGAAGACTCTCAATTACGGCGTCTGCCAGGTCTGAAATGAACATTGCCTCACATCCTAATGCAGGAACACGACCCCAATTTTGTATACCGGATTCTAAAGCCAATTCTTTATACTCAACATCAATCTCTTCAAGAGTTTCAATATGCTCGCTTACAAAACTGTGAATCAAATATCAAAGTTTTAGCAGCCCAGGCGGAGGTGATGGTCGACCAAAAAATGCAACTAGAAAAAGTCAATATAAGCTATGTGATGTCATTACACAATCAGATGATAAAAAACCAATTCTTTATACTCAACATTAATCTCTTCAAGAGTTCCAATTACTGGCCTATGAAGCAACAAGTCAAACCTCAAAATGTTGAAAAGAAACTACATTTTCATATTTTGCTTGGATAATCAATGCTACATGTTCAATAGCCCAAGAAGTTGTGGCATAAGTAAAATGTAAAAGACACAGCTAGAAATATTTTAACTAGGAGCTATTTGATTTCATTACCCATCACGATATCATCGTGAAAAATACAATACCTAATTGGTACGGCCAGAAGACTTTTAACTCCTTTTCGCCCTAGGTCAATTATTGTCTCATCAGTGTAGGGCTTCAACCATTCAACAGGCCCAACTCTGCTCTGCAGGAACATTAACCAACCATTAACAAAAGAAGGTACTATCATAGAGAACTTGTGCAAGATATGTTAGCAAGTAAAATCATGTGGGAAAAACTGATGGTCAAGAGATATATAAACACAAGAATCAGAGGTGGAAAAACCCTTCACCGTCAAAACTCTAACCTATCCTTATTTATATCTACGGACAATAAATATTTTAAGTTGTATCCAAAAAATCTGAGTCCCAACCTAACCTGCTTCACTATAAATTCATCCAAACCCAACATTGCCCCCTAAAAAAGGTAACTACTACAACAATACACGGAATGACTTTTCAAAACAACCTATAAATAGACCATAATTCAGCAAACGAATTTCTGTCGTTTCTTGAAACATAGAGAAGAATTCTAAAAGGGAGTAAAGGTTTGAATCTAAGACAAACTCTAAAGAGAACTAACAACTGCTGGACCAAGTCTCAGTGGCTCAAATTTCAAAAAATACTGTACTCATAAAGTAGAAATATAACACAAACAGCCCTAAGATGATAAAGAACCCTAAGGCAACTTTAATTTACTTCAAGGTTAAATACAGTTTACCCATTGTATTCCGTTATACTGGAAAATTATATTTAATCACAGCATTATCCTAACAGCATAAGCATCTTCTGAAGAGAAAATTGGAATTGCTGTAAGCATTTATATTGAGACTTTCTTCTACTTTTTTTTTATAGGAATGGATGGCCTCGTTAAAAACCCCTTCTTGATTAAAGGAGCTTAGGGGTAAGCTCCTTAATCAGCGGAAGAAGGAAAAGAGTGCCTTAAAAACTTTATTGATAATACAATCTTACATAATATTTAAACACTACACAACAATACATCCCATAAAACTTAACAACAATTTTCTAATAGACCGTCTAGCTAGACCAGAAAATCCAGTGACAGGGCTTTACAGTCAACCTATCCCTTTCTTAGCTAAGCTATCAGCCTCCTCATTGCTCGCTCTTGGAATCCACCTCACTGAATGAACCTTGCCATTTGAAAGCGTCAAAATCTGATTAACCAAAGACGAGTAGAAAACAGGAACCAAAGCCGGTGATTTAATCCATTCCACTACCGACTTGCAATCACTCTCAACAATCAATCTCCCAACAGAAACCCAAACTGAAGCCAGAAAAATTTCAATACCCCTTTTAATAGCCTTTAATTCAGCTAGAGGAGGAGTACTTGGTCAACTTTCTCTGAAAAAGTCAAAAGTGTACGACACTCCCAATCTCTCAATATACCTCCTATACCTCCACCCGAGCCTCCAAGCCTAACTGCTCCATCAACGTTCATCTTAAGAAAATCAACAGGGGAATCCAACGCAGGTTATGACCAACTTTTGCTAAAGTTAGAGAAAACCCATCTGCTAGAGAGTGAAATAGATTGGTAAGGAGTAATATGCCAACAATAAGTACCTGATAAGCGAGAGTGTATGCGTTTGTGATCTTCCTCTTCTCTAATTCCTCCATTATCAAGTCCACACATTCTTCCATCTCAGCCTTGTAAGGATCACCTGCCTCTTCTACATATGCAAGTGGCACCCCATGCGCACTAAAAAATATTACCACCTGTATCCTGTACTCTCATTAATATGTTGATTTATTTTTAAGACAACAAATTTTAAAATTTGTATGGGAAAAAGCTCCTAAATAACAGGAAAATAAAGGAAACACAAATTCAAGAAAGATTTGCATCTAAGAAAAAGATAATAGCCAAGGCCCTCTTCACTCAAACAACTGAAGGAACTTCCCAAGTGAGATCACTAAAAGTTTGAGACGTTTAATAGAAAATACCATCAAGAGAAACACATCATATAAAATTATTACCGTGATACAGTATCTTTCAAATGTAAATGAATATGCAACGGAAATTAAAGGAATAGGTCCCTAGACACCAGCAACAAATACAGGAAAACTAACCTGCAATTCTAAAGCCTGGTTCTGAATTATTCTAAAAAATCAGGAACATTTGAAAGTCATGAACTACGTAACCAAATAAGCAGGAATCAAGTGAAAACTCAGTTGTCAAAATTACATCTACCATTGCAAATTTAGATTATTACGAGAAAAGGTCAACCTTTCAGTGAGCTCATGATATTGACTGGTCAATCAAGACTAAAACCAAAGTTTTAGTGATAAGAAGCAAGAACATTTGTGACAAAAGCCATGAATTTTTAAGTAATTCACTCTCATTGAATGTGTAGGAAACTTACAATTATATATACAAGCCTAAGCCTTATCTTAAGTAACTTCTAAACTAGGTAAGAGACTAATTCTAGTAATAAAAACAATCCCTTAGGGTTGGAGATACTAACTAAATAGAATATTTACAAATCCAACTCAATCTCCTTATCTTAGGTAACTAATCTCTAACACTCCCCTCAAGCGGGGAGCATGGATATCTTCTATCCCCAGCTTGCCTGTTAACTTCTGAAAATACTTACCAGGTAGACCATTGGTAAGTATGTCTGCAACTTGATCTCCAGTGGTCACATAGGGAGTACTTTGATGTACTTAATACTTTTATTTGGGACGTAAATTATGGGAACTCTCCACTTTTGTAAATTAATTTTGTTATGTTTTAAACTATGGTTTTAATCTATGAATACGATGATTGTTTTGAAAAAAAAATGATTAGTCGTTTCGGTAGTTCCGTGTGATACCTAGATTTTTCGAAATTTGAGTCGGATCAGATTAGGGTGTTACAAAGTTTTTGAAGATGTGCTGATAACTAAGTTGCCGTAGCTCAGATAGAAAGATAATGAATGAGGGCCAATTTTGGAGATATCAAGAGGGACACCATACATCCTAATGTAACTTTCATCAGAGTTTCCAATTCTCCTAGCCTTTAAGATGATTGAACAGAGAGACCTGTACATTGAAATTCGACTTGTCCTTGGAGAAGTCATATTTAATTACAAAAAAAATGCACATGCCTAGCAGTAATGACTCAATCAATGACATTTCCAAACATTTTATTTAACATGTAGCACCAGATTCTTAATGAAAAACCTTTGAAATCCCATAACTATAAAAGACTGTTAGTAAGGAGATTTTCATAATTGACCCCACAAATGAGAGAAGCTCCCGCTTCTCTCTAGAATCCAGGCGATCTTCTAGCTCCTCATAAGAATCAGGTGTCAGTCGTTTGTCCCCCTTAAGTGCTCCTCAACGTCTTCCGCCGTCGCTATCCTCCGACATTTCTCACTGTCGTCCGCCGCCACTTTCCGACCGTCGTTCGAACCCAAATTTCACAGGGAGGTTCGTCTCTTCACCGTGTTTCCGAATCTGAACCTTTTTTTTTTTTTTGATAGGAATGGCAGGCCTCGTTAAAACCCCTTCATGATTAATGGAACATAAAGTGCTCCTTAATCAGCGGAAGGAGGGAAAGAGTGCCTTATAATTCATTAAAACGCATAAATTACATAATACTTAGGGAACAATCATGTAGACTCCCTATACACACCAACCCATAGCTTAAAAATAACAACCCAAACATAACCAAAAGACTTTAAAGCTAGCCAATACCAGCCTTAGCTAAGGCATCAGCCTCAACATTAGCTGACCTAGCAACCCATCTAATAATGCCTCCCAAACCTCTTAACTTAGTAACAATTTCGTTCACAAGGTCTACATATACATTGGGTCATCTATCATAGTTCTTGATCCAGTCCATCGCAATTTTACTATCAGTTTCAACAATCAAGCGATCCTCAAACTGTTGCTGGATTGAAGCAAAGAAAAACAAACCCTTCTTAATTGCCATTAGTTCTATCAAAATGGGAGGACCCGGACCAGAAGCCTCTTGAAAAGACCCCACCACCGAGCCATTCTCCACTTTTAGAATTCCCCCAACTCCACTTTTCCTCCAATCTGCAGTAACAGATGCATCCACATTCAACTTTATATAGCCCTTTGGAGGCCGAGTCCAGGCCTTAATTTTAATGACTGAAGATCTAGAATTAGCGCAACAATCTCCAAGCGAAGGATCACAAATAAGACAGTCCATTAGAATAGACGTCTCCTTATAGACAGCTAAGAACCATGCAGCCAGCCGACATCTTGCCATAAAGAAAAGATCAGTCTGATCTAAACTCCCCTTATCAAACACAATCGCATTCCTACATTTCCAGATTGTCCAAAACACCACTCCCGGAATGAAGGACCAAATTATAGAACTAGGCACCAAATCTCCCCAAGCTAACAAAAAACTTTTAGCATTAGCTTGTAAAACTGAACAAACTCCCCAAAATCTCAAAAAATTATTCCAAACAGACCACGCGACCGAGCAAGTAAAAAATAAATGAGAAGAGGATTCATCCACCTTCTTACATAAAGGACAAACAACATCAACAATTGCTGAAACTCCTCTCTTCTGTAATTCAAGTTTAACTGGCAGCCTTTGATACACGACCTGCCACATGAAGATCTCCACTCTAGGAGGCACCAAACCCCTCCAAATGTGCTTCATCCAAAAAGAATCTGCTGTCAAAACAGGACAGCAAGACTTCAAACACGAATTAACAGAAAAAATTCCTTCCCCATTCCCTCTCCAAACCATACCATCTGACATCTCATTATTTAGTGTGAAATTATGGATAACATCCATTAACTCAGCAAACTGATCCAATTCCCAATCACTTAAATTCCTTCTCAATTGAATATGCCAAACCCAAACTGAAGACCGAAACTCCCCAAACTCATTAAGCTTCCCAGTTTTGTTTATCGACAGAGCAAACAATCTTTGGAAAACCACTTTAAGAGGGACATCAAGCGCCCAACTATCAAACCAAAATCTGATACTCCCACCATTCCCCATCCTAACATTAAACAAACTTCGAAACTTAGTTCCAAATTGATCCTCATTGAAATGGTTCTTAACCATCGATTTCCAGATCCAAGAAGCATTAGTAGGTAGTTTTTCATTGAACGACAAAAAACTAGAGTCCAATTTATATTTACTGCAGATTACCTTTTTCCACACTGAATCGCAGTCATTAGCAAACCTCCAACTCCATTTCCCAAGTAGAGCTCTATTCATAAAATTAAGATCCACAACACCAAGACCACCCACCCGTTTATCAGAGCAAACTGTCAACCAATTAACCCAATGATTTTTTTTGGCCTCAACCTCTCCTCCCCATAAAAATCTAGCCATGATAGCATTGAGTTTATCATATACCGAAACAGGAATCTTGAACAAGGACATATAGTAGGTTGGTAACGCACACAAAACTGCCTTTAATAAGACCAATCTGCCTGCCATAGACATTGTCTTAGCCTTCCAGCCTGTTAATCTGTTGTAAAACTTCTGCACTACCGGATCCCACATCTGCTGGGAATTTCTCTTAGCACCAAGAGGAAGCCCCAAATATTCGGACAGGAAATGTCCTACCAAACAACCTATAGCATTAGCCCACTGAGTAAACACTTCCTCAGAAATATTAATCCCAAATAATTTACTCTTAGTGAGATTCAATTTAAGGCCTGACATAACTTCAAAAACTCGAAGAACCCTCTTTACATTAAGAATCTGAGTCTTCGATGCATTGCAGAAGATGATGAGATCATCTGCAAATTGCAGATGAGACAAATTAACAACATTCTCGTCTTTGCCAACTGTCAGGCCACAAAACATGCCTGACTGGACTGCTTGGATAATCAGAAGATTAAGCAATTCACCAACAAGATTAAACAACAAAGGGGAGAGGGAACAGCCCTGTCTAAGACCTCTAGACAACGAAAATTCATCCGTAGGAACACCATTAACCAGCACTGACATCGAAGCTGTAGTGACACAAGTCCGAATCCAGCTACACCATTTTGATCCGAAACCCATTTTATCCAAAACTTTAAAGAGAATGTCCCAATCTACCGTATCATAAGCCTTCTTAAAATCCACCTTAAAGACACAAGCCTTCAAACCTTTCTTCCTCCACAAGTCGATACCTTCATTAGCAATAAAAGAACAATCCAAAATTTGTCGACCCGAAATAAAAGCAAATTGTGAGTCACTGTTAATATCCTTGATGCAACCTCTCAACCTTCTCGACAGACACTTGGACAGAATCTTGTACATCCCTCCTACGAGAGAAATAGGTCTTAAATCATCCAGACCCCCAATATTAGAACCTTTGGGATTAAGGTAATGAAAGAATGATTAATGCCATTCTCCCACTCCTTTCCCAAAAAGAAATTATGGAAAAACTTCAAAATATCCCTCTTCAAGTGAGGCCAGAATTTTTTGAAAAAACCCATATTCAACATCTGACCCAGGAGCTTTGTTACTATCACACGAGTTTATGGTATCCCAAATCTCTTCTTTCGTAAACTCCTTCTCTAACAACAGACTCTGCTCCAGAGAAATTCTTGAGAAGTTCAAATTAATATCCTCCACCTCCAAGGTAGAACGATGATTAAAAGCTTTAAAAAAATGTTCTCTGACAGTAGACTTTATAATAACCGGATCTTTGATAATTTTACCATCAACATGAATTGCATTCATAGAATTCATCCTCCTCCTAATGGAAGCACTTGTGTGAAAAACTTAGAATTCCGGTCTCCATCTT